TAGAGTAGTTCCTGTTCTTCCCTGAGGCAATGTAGGGCTGGTAACCATCATCTTCTCACTGTCCATAGGCAGAGGAAGTCCTTCTATATAATATGTTTCTCAGCTAGTTTAAGACAGCTAAAGATTCTTTCTGTTGCTTACAGTTGCAAGTTCTCAATCCTTGTTTTCGGCTTCAGCTTGCTGGTCCAAAGGCCACACGCCGGCCCCGGAGAGGCAGCTGAACGCCGACTACCCCCCATTTTTAAGGTTTTTGCTACAGATTGCATGGCAAAAACTTTTCGCCATTGCCAGAGAGAGATAGAGAGACACAGAGGGGAAGAGAGAAATCACCCCGTGGGTTGGGGGGATGCACACCACGATCCCTTCTCCTCCATTGTCCTCGGGATTTAGGGCATGCATGCGTCCATGCTGGTGTGATTTTCAAGCTGCTAGGTCTGGACTTGAACCACACTCAGCCATGCGGGAGTCCAATGCCTTAACCACCACACTACCTGCTAGTCCCTTCTTCCCCCCTTCAATACACTTAGCTTCTCTCTCTCCTCTTGCTTGTCTTCATCCGGATTTTCTGTCCACTTCGTCCTTCCCGTTACTGGCTATTTTCCTTGCCAGTTTGCAGTGAGTATTTTCTTACCCAGCTTTACCCTGCATCACTAATTACCTCCTCTCACTATTACCGTTAGCCCCAAAAAAGTGCTTTCCTACTTAGAGTCGACTCCTCACACTCACTCGTGACTCCCGCATCTACTAGCCTGGTCTAAGTCTCGTCCTTTCCTGCAGTTACCTTCAGGTTGACATTTCCAAAGACCAGGGTCCTCGCTGGGGTCCGGGCAGGGAACAAACTCATCGTTCACACGTCACCCATGCTCTCACTTCAGACCCACAGTCTGTCCCCTTTCACAGTCACGTTCTTATAACGCCACCTCTTCCTAATGTTGATGCAAACCTATGTTTTTCCACAAGCACCAACTCCACGCTGACCTGGTGTTTTGCCTGGTGGACACTCGCATCTGGATGGAATACATCCCGATCTGCCCTAATACCCATGCCTGCCCACCCACGTCCCCGAGTCAGGAAAGGCGTACACATGCAGTTGCCATGGCGCAGTTCTCAGAGAGCATGGCAGTGTTCTCCAATCAGTCTAGGTGTCTGCAGGCCCTTGGTCACCGCCCTGTGTCAGCTCATCCTCATCTCTCCCTGGACTGTGGCAGCTGACTCCCTGTGCCTCCAACCCCATCCACTCCCGTACGAATGTCTTTTCTCATGATCCTTAGGCTTGTAATACTCTCTTGCTCTTCTTGGCAAGACCCAGTTCATTTATGGAGAACGAACACAAGACTGTCCTTCCCATGAAACTTTTAGTATTGGGACCAGCAGATGGCACAATGGCTATGTCACTGAACTCCCATGTAGTCGACTGTGGTTCAAGTCTTGGACCTCGTGGCTTAAACTCACACCGAGCGCATGCGCTTGTGTGCCCAAGATCCCGAGAGGAGAATGGAGGAGAAGGGATTGCGGTGTGGCCATCCCCCCTGGGGGATGATTTCTCACTTTCTGTCTCTCTGTCTCTCTCTGTCTGTCTGGCGAGCACACGTGCCCTATAGCAAAAACCTATCAAAAAGAAACTTTTAGTATCTACGATCCATCGTGATCTTTTAATATAGAATAGAGAGAACATCCCCATCCCATCATAGAAGAAAATGAACTCATAAGTGAGAA